TCTAGTACTTTAGATTTATCTGCATTTAGGAGTTGTCCTGTGAATAGAAGGTTGTGCTTTTTTAGGTTTTTCCGATGTTCAGCAAAGAAAGCTTTACTCATTATATCTTCTATTGGGATGTCTATTTCTTTTATAAGAATCAGGCTGTTAGTTTCTTGTGATAGGTATGCGGTAAAACCATGTCTTCTCAAGAGCCATATAATGTCATGTGTAAAGTTGTTGCTTAACTTTTTTAGAGGGCTCTCTATCTTGTTTAGAATGGGTTGGATTGATCAAAATTCATTTTGCAGTGTCTGTAATCTTATTCTTGCTATTTCTCCTGCTCTATTGGTTCTATTAATTCTGTTGGTCCAGTTTGTGGTGTGGAGTAGGAGTTGTCTATTCCACAAGTGTATTATGTTGTATTCATATTTATGATAGAGGATATTGTTGGGAGTTGTTCTGGCTAGGCCTAGTTTATGTTTAAAGGTTGATATGATGTTGCTCATGAGGAGGTTGCATGATTTTTCAGATAGAATTATATTATTGTAAAGGTACTTAGCACTAGGAATTAGAATATAATTTATGATATATTGCATTTGCTTATCTATAAGGTTTTACATTCTTATTAGTGGTTTGGTCTTACTGAATTTTTATTGAATTAGGGTTCTTTAATAGTCTTTTTTTCCTGAGCTGTCATGGCACACTCCTAGAATTCTGACTGGGGTTCCTTTGGGGTAGCCCTGAATGGTTTGATTGTCTATTACTATTTCTTGTCTAAAGTCATCCTCTTTACTATTAATAATGATTAATTGCGATTTCTATGGGTTGATTTTGATATTATTGATGTGGTAAAATTCCTCAGCTACTTTGATAATTTTTCTCATGTCTTCCACATTGTCTGTAATTCAAGTGGTGTCATCCATATATGCGCTGACTGCAATGTTAACCTTTTTTGTTAACCAGCCTTTTTGGAAGTTTCTGTATATTTTTGTCAAGATTGTGTAGCCTGTAAAATCTTTGTCTATTTTGGTTATAAGGGGATCATAGAAGATACGCCAGAAAAGGAGGAATATTGTGTCCCCTTAATCAACACCATCCTCAACTCCATATTCTATTATAGGTCCATGATATGTCAAAACAATGTTTTGTCGTGGTTGAATATATTATAGAGAATATTGATAATTTGAGAAGGAACCCTGATACATTTAAGTGCTAGAGTTAACATTTCAAGGTTGACTGAATCATATGTCTTGGACATATCTTGGCTTAGGATCCATGCTTGTTTGTTTGTGTCTTTTGCATATTCAATAATATTGTTTATAATGTGAATTGGTTCCTGTGTGTTGCAGCCAGGGAGTGCTGTCCAGTTTAATTCTGAAAGGATTTTGTGGTCACATATGCAATGTGTTAATCTATCAGTAATGATTTTTGTGAAGATCTTTCTTCCTGCATCTAGAAGGATAATTGGTCTTGTGATATCTAGATTGTTTTGCCAGTCTTTTGGTTTCGGTATTGAGTATATGGCTCCTTTACTTCATTCTTTTGGAGTGTCTCCTTCTTTAATAATCCTATTGAAGAGTAGCCAGATTTCTTCTATTACCTTTGTCCATATTTTCTTATAGGTCATGTAGAGAATCTGATTTCTTCCAGGAGATGATTATGTGCTTTTGCTTTGAATTGCCTTTTTTATTTCCTCTATAGATATTTCAGAAAGGATTGAGTTGTATCACCTGGAATTGATATTCTTTTTTGGTTCATATTCTTCAACCCTGAAGAGAAAGTTGGAGATAGGCTTGATTTTCCTGACTAGGGTCCAGTCCTAGAAGTGTTTTCTAATCCTGTTTTTCATTTTTTTAGAATTGGTTGTAATTGAAACTTCCTCATCTTCTATGATAATCTTGTCCAGAACAATGGTTCTCCTAGGTTTTTCCATGATGCTGTTAATCATTGCTTTTTTATTTGTTGCTAGGTATGTTTGTCTGTTCAGGATTCTTTGTTTGATCGTGAGAGCTTGCTTTCTATACATTATTGCGTGTGCAATAACTTTGTGTCCTCAAATAATTTTTTGGATATAGTCTAGCCAGTGTTGTAAGAAATTGAGTAGATACTTCCTCTTTAGCATGAATAGTTGTTGTTATACATCTGGAAACTTTTCTTGAAAATATTTTGGTAGTGTGGTAAGAGATTTGTTTGCTTTATGAATGGCTTTCAATCTGTTGTTGAAAAGCTATATCTGTAATAGTAGATCTTTGGTTGTATATTCCTTTCTTATTATTCTTTTTCTCCTATGTTGTTTTCTTTTTGGAATGTAGAGTTTGGCTGCTTTGAGGATATGGCTGCATATGAGTTCCATTGTTTATTTATTGATCTGGATTTTGTACTTTGGCTACTTAGGGCTTTGTCTACTTCTAGAGATAATTTTTTCCATTGTTCATTGTTTGCTAGTTGCCAGTTGTATCTATGATTCAGCTGGTAGTATGGGGTCTCCTTGTATAAGTTCAATTGCCATATTTCTATTTCAGTGATGGTAGGTTTGTGATCACTGGAAATCAGTGGAACTAAATCTTCTCTGATATAGGCTTTCCTGCTTTGCCATGATAGAAGTATGTTTATTCAGATTTGATCTATTCTGTTACTACTATTGTTCCAGCTCCAGGTATATTCTCTTCTTCTTGGATTGTGAAGCCTATATGTGTCCTCTAGACTGTGGTCTATTAATATTTCTATTTAAGGGCCTGTTGGTTTGTTGGATGTACTTTGTTTGTGACCATTGTTTTTGTCCAGGGCTGGGTTAAGAACTCCATTTAAGTCTTCTAATATCAGGAGGTACCAATTTTTTTGAAGTGCTTCTTGTGTCCATTGCTTTAGTTTATTGAGAGTGTCTTGTCACCTCTGGTCTCTCTTATCTGCATGAAAGTATGTAGCTATAATTCTGAGTTTCTGTTTTTTTGAAAATGTGAGATCTGTATATATTAACCTTTCCTTTCAGGTGTTGTATTTATAAATTCAGTTTGCTATTTCTTTTTTGATCATTAAATTTAGGTCTTGTCCAATCATTTGTTCATTATTATATGACCAAATTATATGATAAGATGGATGTCTCCAGTATTTTGATTGTTGGTGGGTACCATTGGTCTTGGTCATTACAATGATATCCCAGTCCTTTGTTGCATACCAGTTGAACCAGATTTCTCTTTTGTGTTTGTTTGTTAGGCCTTGAATATTGACAGTTGTGGCTTGTTATATCAGATGTTGTGTATTTTTTTCAATGTATATAATTGTGTTGTTGTTATTGTTGAAGTTGTCTTCTGTCATGTCATTATTTAGATAAGATGTGGAGTTTGATAAGTTTTGTTTTTGCATATCCTTGGGTGACTTTTTTAGTTGTATATTGCTCTAATTGTATACTGTGTTTTCTAATGTAGGTAATACTGGTATATTGCTCATTGATTATTTTTTGAGAGGGAAGAGGTTGTGCTAGGGATCAGTTCTAAAATTGCATTAAGTGCTTTATACATGTTTTGATCCATCCTGTCTATGGATTCATGGATTTATTGTTGTTGAGCTCAAATATTGTAATGTTCTTTTGTGTTTGGTTGAGGGGTGGAGGTCCCCTCATGGTTTGATGGGTCTTTTTCTCTATTTTCTGTTTCCATAGTGTCTGTGAAGGTATCTTCTGAAACTTTCAAATTATATATCCTTTCATCCAGGTCACTAATGTTTTCTTTTATCTCTTTAATTTCATTCTTTATTTCTTTGAAAATAGTCATAATGTCGTCAAGTATTGGATTGTTCTCTTGAGTCTTTTTTGGTTAATATTGACTATATTTGGCAGCTGCTGTGTAAGATCCAGGCTTAATTGGATGATGTTGTGGGGGTTTTGTTTGATTTCTAATTGGAATGGTACATGCAGATCTGAACTTGTTATATAGTTTTTCAAATTTGTTCACTTGTTCCTTATTTTATTCCTTCTATTGTGTTCATCTTTCTTTGATTAGATAGCCATTCAGTAGATGCTCTGGATTGTCACAAATTGTGCACAGTTTAGTTTCGATAGGTTGTCAGGTACAGTTGAAATCTCCTAGTGAAAATTCTTGCAAAATGGTTGTTTCTAGTTCTTCTTGGTTACTAAAACTAATAATTGCAAATCTCTTTCTTTGGTATGACATTCTTCTTGATATATAACAGGTCTTGGCCTTAGTTTGTTCACATATTCTCTTTAGATCAAAGGCAGTGGTATTGAATGGAAGATTTATAAGTTCTGCTGCGGTTTGTCCACATGCTTTTATTTGATCTATGTTCTATTGTGCATCAAAAACTTTTACTGAGTCAGCTTTAAGAGGCATGCTTCATTTTTCGATCAGTGTATCTTTGTCCTCTTTTTTGTATATGTTATTGTTGCTGTTTACCACATCTGTTAAGTTGACATGGTGATATTACTAATCGCTCCGTATTTGGTGAAGGATTGTTGTACTTCTATGAGTTTGGTGTCCAGGTGAATATCCCATACTCTAATACTATTTTCCTATTTTAGGGTTGGGTTTGTGTACTTCATAAGAGCTATGTGTTTGTTGTCTGTATCGGGTAATGAATTGTTGCAAATTTCGATTGCTTCGTGTTTGTTACTTAAAATGGCAATGATGTGCTCTATTACTTTTTTCTTTTTACTTCGAGTTGTCATGAGTTCTTCTGATGAATTCAGAGTCTTGATGAGGAAGGTTATTTTCTGAGTTGTAGTTTTGCCTGGCAAGTCTATGGCAGGGATATCAATTTTGGCTCTCTCTCTGCCATAACAGATAGTTTTGTCAAAGGGGAGAGGGGTCTTGGTTTGATGTTTCAGATATCTTCCTTTTGTTTCCTCTTGATACCGGCACATTGCCAACTTGAGGTTGTTGCCTATGGGTCTTGTTCCATCTCCATCTCCATGTCTTGGTCGTCTATATCTACTTCTCTGTATATCTTTTTAGTTGGTTTGGGGGAATCACTTCTTGTGTTTCCATGTTTGGTATTGCTGTAACGCTATCCAAATGGTTTACTATAGGATTTTTAGTAGCCATAATGTTATTTTCAACTTCTTCACTCCAATTAGTACTCTGGTTGGTTTCAGGGTAAAGTTTGAATGTTGTGGCATATGCTGTTGAGTCTTGAGACATATGTTGACTATTAAAGTCTTCGAACTGGATTTCTCTTTGGCTGTTCACTTTGACTTTCCTTTGTTTATAATGTTTTTCTTTGCTGCTCGTGTTGTTGTTTCTTTGTATAACTTGTTTGTATTACCTCTTGCGAGGATGTTTTCATTGTAGTTAGGCCTCCACTGGGCCATTTTGCCTTGAGGTTCCCTTTGAAATTGCATCTCTCCGTTCACCTTTTCTTTTTTTTTAAAAATTACTATAAAAGAAAATTTTTTAGAAAAAATAGATCTGCAGAAAAGAGTTTTTTTTTGAAAAAAAAATGCTATAATATTTACAAAACAATTATTAATAAATATAAATATTTTTTAAGTGAACTCTTGCATCTGAAAAAATAAAATTTAGAGATGTCTATGAAATATTAGATCTATTAATTAAAATATTATAAAACATCTTGTGAAACTATGAACTTTCAGAGATTATTTATAAAAGATAATAAAAATTTGATAATTATTTATAATAGAGCAAATCAATATAGTTAATTTTAAATTGGAAGTGAACTAATTAATTTTGTTATATCCTTACAAAATATTAAAGGCTTATTTATATTAATTCAATTTGTGAATCCTAATATAAGTAATAATTTATATTTGAAGCAAATTCAATTCTTCTTTATACATTCAATAAACTTTTTAAATAATTTGTTAAATATTGATTAATCTTTATTTAAGATTCAGAACTATTATAAAACTCTTTCAACTGATTCTTATTTTTTTCAAAAATTTTCTTTTTTGATAATTTTTTTGAAAAAAAGTAAATCAGTTCAAATATATAAGAAAACATACAATAAGTTACCAAGAAATATCAAGAAAAGAGATATATACTACTTTACTAACTTTCTTTTACTTCTTTTTTTTAAAAATTTTAGGAGAAATAAAAGAAACCTATAAACTGATTCATAGTCAGAATAAGGAAGCCAATATCAACTTCACATAGCTTACAGCCAGGCACGTACAGGTTAATACTTTTCTTGACACTATAAGAAATCCAAAAAGCAATCAAGCCTACTTGATAAATTAAGTTGTTCCAATTACTTAAAGGCTTCGAAGAATATCATAGTTCCATAAAGACAAGACAGTCTAGATATATATACACACATAAACAACATACCTATCCCTTATCTTGTCATACAAACATGAATACATAAAAGTCAGACAAGCAAAACAAGTATACATATAAAAGTGACAAGTAAAACACATACATACATATATAACTTGTTATTTAAGCAAGTTTATCAACACTCCATACAAGTATAATAACAACTTTCAAAGTAAAATGAATTGTCAATATAAACAAATAAATATATCAAAACAACAAACAAGGTTTTTTTGTATTATCTAATCGAGAACAAAACTGAAAAAAAAACTCTTTCCCAAAAATCTCAAAATCATAAAAATTTCCTAATTAGGCAATAACAAAAGAACTCGCTCCCAGCTACAAAGTAGCAGTTTCTTCAAGATGGCTTTGACCAGGCAATTATGAAGCTGGGAAAGGCAAACAACACTAGAATACAACATTGACAGAATAAGTAAAAACAATGGCAGGATCCTGAAAGCAAAGGCAACAATACCATCCTCCCAACTGAGACATACTTCTCTTGAAACCAGGTCTGCTCCTCCAAGGAAACTCGATGATAAAAAAAAAGAGAAGAAAGAAGGGAATCCACTGGCACAGACAGAAGAAATAAAGATGAAAGAAGCAAAACAAACACCAGGACAAACAGCAGGAAATACAGAAAGCAATATTGGCAGCAGCATGGTATCCCCTATTACAGTTGAAGCATCAAAAAAAAGAAGCAATACAGAAATCCAAACACAAGACAGGCAACCAAGCATCATCAACCAGACAGGCTACAGTTATGAGAACCAAACTATTACATAGGAGAGACAGTCACACCATAAGATTTTCAAGAAAGGCGAGCCCCACAAACAATGGAAGGCATTCATTGATCAGATCAGATATCAGGACAAAACACCGGGAAGAAAACTGAATTTATCAAAAGAAAAGTGGGACACCTGCCCTCCCTGAAATATATGAGAACAGAATACCCAATCAGAAAACTGCAGATAACAGCCGTCTTCAGAAATCAGGAAGATGTGTACAAGGCATGCATATTAGAACTCACGGACTATGAAAGTACCAAATTTAAAACATCTGTCCCATTAGGCTCACAAGACAGCAATTTCCACACCATCAGGATCTGGGACATCTATCAGCATTTCACTAAAATGGATCTTGCTGCAGAAAGCAGGACCTTTCCAAATGGTAAACATTACCTTCTCCAATATATAGGACTATATAAAAATCAGCCAAGACTGGACACTCACAAAAGGACTGCACTTATGCAGAATATTCCCTTACTACAAAACACATGAAGTCAAAGAGCAGAGGGAATGTTTTAGCACAACACTGACATCCCTACCACCTGACATAACAGCAGCAGACTTGGCAGTTATAATTACAAGTACCAAGGCCATGTCAGCATACATCCCCCAGGACAACAATAACAAAGCTAAAAGATTCGCAATTCTCACCTTCCAGACTAGAGAAGTGCTGCAAGAGGCTAAGTCGGTAGCTTTCATAATCCAAGGAACCCAGACTCAATGGGTGGATTGAGATACAAGGCTATGCCCTGCCTGCAGTTTGCCAGAACACAACATATACTCCTGTCTTGACAAACCAGAATCCCCTCCTCCGAGACAGTACACCAACAGATTCAATAACCTGAGAATGGTACCCTCACCTAGATATGGGATGACTTTCAATCCCATAGATAACAGTAACTTTAGGAGAGACAACAACTCAAAAAGCTATACCAATATTCTGAAACATGGAAAGAATTTCAACAATAACAACCACAATGACAGCATCTGGCAAGCCTTACAATCGATCCAGAATAAAATCAAAGAAATGAAGGATTCTCTTAAAGATCTAACTAAAAAAGTGGATGCCTTAGAACAGGAATGTGCAAACAGATACCCAGAGAGTATAAGAGAACTCATGAAAGAACTAGAAGAATTCACACCTACTGAAGAGAAAGAACAAGAAGAAGGAACAAGCACAAAGATCCAAGATATCAGGAAAATGTAGGAGACATATCAGAGACAGCTTAACAAAAAGAGCTTCACAATGGAAGAAGTAATTAACCTCTTCAAACTATCTCAACAGACAGGCACACCAGGGCAGAATCCTTTCCAATAATATGACAAACACTATGTACTAGAACCTCCAAGAGAGTATAAGCAGCAAAATAAACAAAACAACTACGAACACCCAAAATTTCAATGAACAAACAACTCAGAACCTTGAAAAATCCACAAAGATCAACACTATAAATATTAATCAAAAAACTACAACAAACTATCCAGTCTGGACAATTGCAACACATAACATAAGGGGAATAGTAGAGGAGAACAAACGAAAACTATGGATGAAATACTGCTTAAAAAACAGATGGAAAATAATCATTACAACAGAAACCAATGTAGACAACAACCAGACGAGATAACAAAGCTATCAACTAATTACCACAGTGAATTCTAAGAGAAAGATTGGATACAGGTTATGTATAGCAATCCATGAAGAAATAGCAAGCAGGATCTCAAAAAACAAGAGATAGTGAGAAAGACCATAGCAATAGATATGGCCTTCCCAGGGAAATATAAAATTAGGTTAATAGGAGTATATCTTCCACCCAGGAATAGCGACAGAATAGGGACAGCCAGACTATAAGACACTATTAAAGAATGGATATCATAAGTAGAAAAAGATTCAGTACATATAATAATAGGTGGTGACTTTAACTCCACACCCAACCCTGCCATTGACAAATGACAAAACTTAAAAAAACAAACAACTATCGACCAGAGTCAGAGCTATTAGATTGGCTAATCATTAAAAATTTCGAAGACACATTCAGAGTACACAACACAACACAAACAGCATACGCATGTGAAAATAGTAAAAGAGCGGCTAGTAGGATTGATCAAATCTGGTACAGCCCACAGAACACATGGCAATCAAGAGATGCCAACATAACAGACTACTCAGACTCCCTGTACAAAAGTGACCATAGAATCATAATTATGAGGATAGAGGTGTGGCAGCTGTAAGAACAAAGAAGACAGAAAATTCACATGTGTAACCACAAATACAATTGGTACAGAACAGATACCAAACAGTGGGAGAAGTTTAGAGATACAATTAAATCAAGAATAAGAGAGAAAGATAGGTCGACGCAAGAGGATATAAACAACATGTGAAATAGTTTCAAGCAATACATCATGGACATGACAAACAAGCACATTCTTAAAATAAAGAACCAGGACTTAGGAAAAGGCCCGATAATATACAGTAAGATTGTAAACATACAGATACTGTCAGAAAGGTTGCAAAGGAACATTGATACACCTAACACACAAACTGAACAACTGATAGAGAAACCAATAAGTAGAATACAGGGACCCTTTCCAGAACTCATAGCTGAGTTAAAAGAATAGCAAACTACACATCAACAAAATTACACAACATAGTGGAAGAAGATATACAGAGAATACATAACTAAATATAAGATAGTAGCCAAACTAATAACAAATTATCGGAAAAATAAAGAAATCCAGCAACATATAACAAGGAGACAACAATAGCTGCAAGACAACAAAAAATGGATAATTAATAGTATCCTGGAAAGACCCAACAGAACCATTATAATGGATAAGCTCATTGTGAAAAAAAATGAGCAGATAGAATTATTACTGACCCAAAGGAGATTAAACGAAAAGCTTTAGAACACTATACATCCTGGACTCGCCGCAGGAAAACTATACCGATAGAAAGCACATCTAGATGGCACAACAATACACCCCAAGTAAAAGGATCCAAGAGAAGTGGTACAACAGACTCACAAGACACATCACCACACAAGAGTTAAAAAGAGCAATTAAAGATAGGAGCTCTAGATCAGC